GATTCATTCTGTTATTTAAATACTACTGAATTCTTAAGAACAATAAAATAACTTTGATCATAAATACCTAAATAAAATGTTTATAAAATTCTACGGTAACATAGCAGGAAAATGTTTAAATGTACTACAAATTCCGAAATTTTGATTGGGCTTTAATACTTATTATAAAATATATGCATAGATGTATTTAACCAAAAGCTACCGTGTATGCTTATGATTCATCGCTGAGGTGAGCCATTTAACCCAACTAATTGCACATTTTGATAGTTTGCGGTGCAAACGTTTGCGCAAAGTTAACGCAAAATGACAAAGTGCAAATGTGCAGCGCTCGTGTGGAGATAGAGCAGGAATTGCGGTTGGGGAGTGAATTTAGTGCGGCATTTATAGGGGGTGTTGGGAGATTGAGATTCCGGTGTTTGTCTGCGTGGTATCACATTCTGTGTACAATATGCTTGGGTCAGCTCGATAACGATGTTGGCCAACAGCAAAGTCGAGCGTCGAAACATTGAAGTGGAGCCAACTTGTTGTTCTTCCACTCCCCAAAGGTAAGGGACAGAAATCGAACTTCTGGTAGTCATGCATGCTGACTTTGGGGAATTTACTCGTACTTGTTGGGTTATGCAACATGTTTTCAGTTGAACACTTCCGAAAAAGTTGTATTTAAATATTTTATTTATAGTTAAAATTGCATGAACGAGTCGCGGTGGATATTCACGGACGACCGCGACCACAGCCCCTTAAAATGGAGCGGAAGTATGTCACGCCCGCAAGTACTGGGTTCACAGTTGCGGTCTGAATATTGACACTGTAAGCTCAAGAGGAAAAATGTACGTGATTTATGATTTAAATCACTTGCAGATTTAGATTTATGAAGTAAATTTTCCTTTGAAAGTATTTTTTGTGTGTATTATGTTATTTTAAGATTATTATTTTAATTAATGCATGTTTATGTATATAAACAAACAAAAACAAATGGTAAAATATAAATGTATTTAATTAACTAAAACTTAAATGTTCACACTAAGAAAGTTTTTATTATATAATACTTAATACAACAAAACTATTTTATTAAGTAAAAGCACTAAATTATTTTACTCACTAAATATACTGTTTATATTATTTCAACTATAATAGTTCTTTAATCTATAAATTGTTACTACTTGGTTTCTGTTCCTTAACTTAAGTCGTTAATTAATTTATAACCAACACTCGTTGCCATTTCATTGATTGGTTGAGTTATTAAGCAATCGAAACCAGCAATCCCCTTGATCCCATTTTCAGATCGAACTTTTCGAGGTTGCGTCCATTTTAATTTTTTGTATGCTCTGTTTCTCTAAAGGGCTTTGCAAAGGATTTGTTTTTTGTTCGATGGTCCGCCTAAAATGTCGAAGGGAAGAGTTCGAATGCTCTTGGTCCTGTCACTGCCACTTAAATGCCATGCATCATGGAAATTTATGTGAATAAATTATAATCAAGCAAAGAAAAACTTGCAGACCGTAATAATTCAGATTAAAAAGTATTTATACACATGACACAGTAAGTGGGGGATGGGCCTTTGGGAGGAGGGCGTGGCAGTGGGCGGTGGGCAGTTGGCAGTTGGGTGGGCTTATGGAGCTGGTCACGCGTGTTGGCTGCGTGTGTCCAGCGCTGATTTCGCCATAATAAATTGACATTTTTTGGACATTTCTCTCGAAGTGGCCGCTGTTCTGGCGCTGTTCTTCGTTCGCTGGTGTGGCTATGGCAACTGGGAGCTGTCTGTCATTTAAGCTTCTCTGTTTTTTTGTTTTTCCCCTTTTGGTTGGTGGTTTCTGTTGTTTTAACAAGGGCCCAGGGCAATCAGCTTACGGGGATATTCGGTTAAGAGTTGTATTCAAGGCAATGCCAAGAGCAATTTCAAAATAAATATTTTAAGTCGAATGGTTTCTTGAAATTTCGTCTGGATATCAAGTGCACCCAGAGAAAAACGGCCAGGTAGAATGAAACATTAAGCTTTTTGAATTTAACATTGTTTTTCAAAATAAAATCGTAACTAAAAACATGGTAATGTTACTATTAACATATTTAATTGGTTAATCCAACAAAAAAATTGGAGTTTTTGAATATTTTTTCATTAAAAATTTAAATTTTTTCATACTTAAAAATATAAATACATGTGTAACATTGATAGGGCATAATACAGTGCCGAAAATACTTATTTTAAAGTGAAAATATTATTTTTTCTTTGAGTGTGGCAAAGTGTAGCGTTTGAAGGTTTTAATATGTAAACATGTTCAATATATGCATTGTTTTGATTTGTAATTGATTTTCATGTGTATTTAAACTATACTTTTAAATATGAATTATAACTATATTGTTTATTGTTAATTGTGAATCATACATTTTATTTGTCACCCATGGAATCTTAAATCCAACAAATTCACTTCCTTTTGACTAGACCGAATGTATGTTAAGCTTATGCTGGGATTTCCTTTAGAAAATCTAGACAATCAAAATTCTTGGGTTTCCCCAACAAAAACAAGAAGCCAGCAAGAAAATAACAGGAAAAAGCAATAAGCATTCAAATAACAAGTAGCATAAGAACAGCGAACAAGCAACGACAAATAATTTGGCACAAAGGCAAATAAACAAGATAAGCAAACAAACAAACAAACACACAAATAAACAAACAAACAAACATGAGTAGAAAGACGTTGAAGACGCAACAACACCGAGAAAGTAAAGACAAAAACGAGCCAAGTACCAAAGCACATAATGAGCATAATGGGCGTGTTGAGAGGGGGTTGGCTTGATGGGGGTCACATTGCCCCTATGCCATGTAACCTGCCCACGAATCACCCCCCTCAACCCCCACATGCCGAGTGGCAAAGAGCTTTTTGTGTTGGTTTCCCTCTCTTAGTGCTAGAATAAGCGCCACTTTACATGCACACACACACTCAAATCTCGTACGCACACATGTACACTGACAAAAAAAATCTGGAGGAGGAGTTCTTGTCATTTCACTTATATGATTTCTCAACCTAAAACTGTATTATACATTATACGTATGTTGAATCTCTGATATACTAAAACTTAAGATAAGATATACTCAGCTTATAAGCAATGTTGAACGATAATTAGTAAAATTTCACCAAATTTTGAATTTACTCTTAAAAACTTTTACTAGTTTCATATTATTTTATAAGTTAAAATTAAAGAGTTGAGAATAAATGATTTTTTTTCTGTGTAGAAAATGCGATCTAAATTCAAGACTAATTATTATTGATTTAAGAATAAAGTTTCTGTGCTCGTTATTGGCATGCTTTTGTCTAGATTTTTAGCATTGTAAACTTTTGAATCAATATCCTACATTTTCATTACTTTTCTTAGTTTTTGCGTTTACAAGTTGCTTTGGTATATCCTATATAAGTTCAATTGTAGGAAAAATTGCTCATTCAAATTTTTTTCAGTGTAATTGCTGAGGGGCATGGCCGAGAAGGTATTAGGGGATGTCACCCTTTTGGCAGGATGCAGTTACCAGCTGCAACTGCATCTGCGAAACGGGGGCAAAGGCACGTCGCCAACCATTTAAACTAATCTTGAGGCAGTTTATTTATATATCTCAAGGGTCGTTTGTCCTAACAATGTGCCCTGCTTATATAGGAGCAGATAGATACTCAGATACCTGCATATACGTATATATTTTCAAAAACTAAGCTCAGGTAAGCTATATATATAAAAAGGGGAGCAAACCAAACCAAAAAGGGGATCCTACAAGGGCAAACTCCCCCAAGCACATACGCTCAATAACTATCTTTGAATAAAAGCATAAAGCATAAAGGGGATTAACGATGGTATTCTGTTTCTTTAGAATAATAAAAAAACAATGTGAAAGAGCTTTTATTTGACCATAAGGTAAAATATGCCTTAAAAAAGGAAAAAAATGTTAATACATAGTTTATAAAGAGCTGAATCCATTTTTTTTCTTCACCCACTCTTCTTATAATAATCATTTGGCCATTGCTTTTCTTTTTAGTTTACGTACAGCCCCTTCTGCAATGGTTAAGTTAATTTTTATTAGATTAACACTGCCATGAATTAAAACCGAATGCACATAGAGACCTTTGACATTGATTTCCCATTTCTGCGCCTCAGCTGATCCCCATAAGCAGCATGAAAGGACCTCAATTACATGAATTGAATAGAGTTGCTTGCCCCACTCCTTCACCTTCGGCTCAATGGTTGATGGGGCCCCTGAGGTCGGAGGCGCACACTTCACAGACCTTTGCCTTAAGTAATACCGGCTTGGAGGCTATTTAATTTCTATATAAATATTTTGCCACAGACCAAAAATCTGCGGGTCATAAGCCGCAAGGATATGACGCCGCAGGACACGCAGTTCCTTGGGAGCTTTCAAGTCCGTCGTCCGTCGCCCGTCAGGCTCACCAATCCTGGCCAAGCCACAAGTGCATGCCCCACTGAACTTCTATTAAAGCAGCCGGAAATTAAACACACAAAAGTTTTCCAGGCCTTAGACCGCACCTTAACAAATACATATGCACCCAGCTGCACTGGAAAAAGCGATAGTATTTATTAGAGAGTAAGGGTATTTATTCAGAAGATTGGTATTTCTTACACTGGAAAAAGCAATAGTATTTAATAGAGTGTAAGGGTATCTATCCAGAAGATTGTTAAGATTTCTTAAAAGGTAAAGATTAATTTGACCAATACAAAGTTTAAGTTTTTTGGCCTCAAGCCAACAAGATTAAATCGTTCTAGATATTTTAAAAATACACAACTAACATAAATAAATGTGTAATCAAAAAATTATTTTCAAATTAATTTTAACCTTTTTCTTACTGTAATCGTGTACTTCTTGTTAGTGCTATGCATTTTGCATGCCCCACACTTAATTTGTATATTTCCTTTTGCAAGCGAATGCATTCAGAGATCCGTTTGAGCTTGTTGGGCTTTGGACAAGTTAATGCTGGCATTGTGATTGAAAGGAAATGTTTTCCACTCACCAAATTTAACCCGGCAGCCAGTTCAATGGAGTCCTCAATCGCCTTCAGTCTGCATATGAGCGCACCACGCGAACCCCCTGAAAAAGATAAGCCTGTTAAAGCAACCAGTTATTAAATGGATATCAACGCACCAAAAGACCGCAAATGTTCTTACTTCAAGATTGTCTGGTTATATAGTGTTATGTTTGGATTAATTCCCCATTGTCGGGGCCCCCAAGAAAACAACAAACAACAGACGAGCGACTTTTAGATGAAATGGAAAGGAGGGAATGGAAGGGACTTAGGCCCGGCTGCCGATGTCGCTGGTATAGCCAACTTGGAATTCCCCAGCATGTGTGCCTCCGGCGCAGATGATGGAAATCACTTAACACGGAGTGCGGGCAGCCGGATGACGATGATGATGACAACGACAACGGGTATGTGACAGGACAGGAGTGGGCTGTAATGCTGGAGTGTGGAGTGAGTGCTGATGGGGATTGTGTCTGAGTTTCTAATGAGCTTTTGTCTGCTGCATACTTTTCAGCGCCGAGACTTTTGCGTCTTGGGCTTTGTTCAGATATTTGACAGGCGGGCGGATGGCAGTCCCTTGCCTATTATTGCCAAGTTTCTCAAAGAAGAGTGGAAAACTAATGAATATCAGACTAAGGGCTAAGCTATTGCGGACGGACCCTTGCAGATCACTTTATTAACATACAAATGGAAAACCACTCCACTCTGTGATGTAAATGTGCGCAAAACTGACCGGGGAACCAAAAAAAAAAAAAACACAAAACTTAAACTTCCAAGAACACAAAGTTTTTATCAATGCTTTTTTTGAGTTTAAAAAGCTGAAGAAAGTATACAATTATTTATTGATATAATACGTAGTTGCATATTAAATAAATAGGCTGCAGAAAAAAATATTTTTTAGAAAGGAAACTAGTTACAAATAGTTTTGTTTTAAATATATAAAAAGTACACAAATATTTCAACAAGAAAAACAAATTTTAAAACACAAAATCATAGTATACATATTTTATTAAAAGACAACATAATACTGCTGTCGTTTAGTCTAAAATAACAAATAAATAAATAAAATCAATGACTAAAGATGATACGTATTTTAATTGCAGTTTGAAAATTTAAGCCACAGAGAGCTTTATTCGATTAATAAAAGACTTTTGATATCTAGAACCATATTCTTTACTGCGTTGCCAAAAATCTCCCAAGGAATTATGATTAATAACAAGCAAATTTTAAAAGCATCAGCAAAGAAAAGTCGAAGTCTTTTTCTCGAAAACACAAAATTGCATTAAAATTTTAGCCAGTTAAGAGTGCGCACTTAATTGCCTTGCGTTTGTATATGATTCTGACTTTCCGGATGCAAAACCAATATCAATATCTTGCTTAAGGCATGTACACAAAATGGAAATTTCCTCCACTTATTTAATACACTTAAGCCATCAACTTGGACTTGGCGCACATGACCACACGTCCTAAATCACTTATGGCCAAGTTCAATCAAACGAGTTAATAACTTCCGCAACGTGGCAGCCAAAATGAACCATAATTCTCATGCAACGGCCAGCTAAACTGACCTATTAGCCTTCAGGTTTTCGGACTTGGGACTTCGGAATGGATGGATAGTCGGTGGTCCGAGTGGGCCATGTTGATCCGGGCCAAGACCACTGGACGGCTGTCGGGGGACTGCGGCATGGTAATTTTAGCGCTTGTCTCTCCACGGACTCACACGGCAATCAGCACACACCAGCTCAGGTACACAAAGAATAAAAGTGCCGGAGCACATGTCACATTTGCCACATGAGTTAACGTAGCTCATTTATCATGGCCTCCGCTCTGCTGCCAGCTCCCTGCGATGTCCTTTATCCTTCTGTCTCCCTTAGGCGGTGGTTCAAGGTGACCAAGGCATTTGCCGGCCAATCTGAGGTCGTGTTTTCACGTCCACTCGGAGAATTGCTTGCTCTCTAGTACAAAAATTCTAGTACAATAATTCAGATAGTAACTAATAAACTTTTAAGCTTTGACTTAAATATAAGATTGACTGAAATTGGTAGAAACAATTTGAGCGTTGAGGTGTGAAGGACACTTTGATTTTGAAACTTGTTTTAGTTGGTTTAAACAATGGTTTAACATTTCAGAATTAAGCTGTAAAATGTCAATTTTGAAATGCCTTCCGAACAAAATAATTTCCTAAAGACTACAAATTGTAGCAATTCAAGTTAGGTTCTTAACTATATTACTTCACTCCGATTAGTTAACATACTTGATTTGTATAATTTTACGTATTCAGTTACTTGTTTCAAAATTTTTTCTTCTTAGTGTAAATATACATGTGAACAGACTGTACACCTAACACCGAAATCTAATTGTAGCCCCAAGGCATAGAAATAGGCAGATGGTGGCAGGACTTTAATTACGGCAGCCACGACTCCTCAAACTGAATGGACTCCCGTACCCAGTATCACAATGCAATATTTATTAGTGCGTGTGGTCGTGCTCCCTGGCCTCCGCATGTATATAATAAACATACTATATATGCATGCCAACACACACTGTGTGTGTTGCATGGCATTATATGTCGCCTGACTAAATTTAGATATGCAAATCGATAAAAAAAAAGAAAATATCAAGGCACGCACGCATTTTTAGTGCCCAAGTTTTGCCTCGAAACGTTTTTCCAGGTAGACTTGGGCCAGGAGTTCGAGTTGAAGTCGGATAAAAGGGCTAGAACTGAGGGACATGTGCTTAAAGGTCGCGCTTTTGTTATAATTGTGTACAGATAGTATAGGCCTTTCCCCAGCAAAACGATTTACAAACCTGCCACGAGGATTCGCCCCCAACTGAGGCTTAAGATTTAGGCTAGCCTGATAGCATTTCACATGAAATGCCAACCCATTTGTTTGCTTTGGAGAGTGGTCGGGTACTAAAGCCAAACACAATATATTTAAATACTAATTTAATTCATATGAATCATGTGGATTGGCAAGGATGTCACTATAAAGACAAACACATGAAACATTAAAGTTATCTGGGTATTTTATCAGAAAATGCTAAGCTTATTTGTAATTGGAAATGTCATTAATCTGATATAATTTACGAAAAAGTATCCATCCAGAGATTCATTATTTTATATGATTTTATTATTTTCGTAACCCCCAATAAAGGAAATAATTAAATAGTTTTGAGATTTTATACTATAACATACATATGAATCATGGGGATTGGTGAGACGTCACCAGTAATTAAGACAAATACAAGTACCTACCATACCATTTTTTTGGTTATTTTTACCTGACCTAGGTAAAGATGTTTATCTAAAATATTAGCATTTATTTCAGTTTTCAATCAGCAAGTATCCCAATAAAAAAGCATTCAACACACATGCAAGATAGAATAATGTTTATTTTTACTTTTTTCTGCAACCAGAATTAATTGCCAGGGCGTATAATTCAACTGTAATTTCGAAAAGAACCTATTGACCTCAAAATGATAAGTTTTTAAAACAATATAATTAATGTTTTGTACCTTTTACCTTGACTAGATATTTGAAAAATGTGTATTCTACCTTTGTTAAGTACTTATTTTCACAAATATCTTATACTCTACCTTTTTTAAGTACTTATTTTCACAAATACCTTATACTCTACCTAGATCCAAATAAATAGTATCTTTTCTAACACTGCAAAAGTGGCAATGAATTCTTGTTTCAATCGGAAATATACTATATTTTTATATACTACATTCAAATTTAATGATATTATTCCCATAAACTGCTTTAAATGAAACAACAACAGCTATGACTTGTTGTCAGGTGCCAGGGCTTTCAGGATCTGTCTGGCTAAGTCGTTTACCTTTAATTATATAGTTCGTTTTAATTGTAATTGTAGGGAAGCCTGCCTGAAATATGGCAGACCTTGCAGTTTAGCATGTGGGAACTTTAACTTTTGTTTTACTTTCACTAATTGAACCAATTGGGGCCACACAAACACCAGTCTATGTATGGGCATTCATATATCTTGTTTCTATGCCTGAGAGCTCTTGCAAAATTTATGGGCATATATTGATTAAATAATTAGGCCTCTGCAAGAGGCCAATTCACATGGATATAAAATAAATTTATGTCAAATGCCAGAGAAAATAAATTTATGTCCAGGCAAAGGCAGTTTTTTCAGTTGCACTTCATTTAATATAGCAAATTGCACAGACTGAGCGGGTACAGCAACTTAATTAATAATTTATTCGCTGCTTGTTAACACTTTTTCCCCTTCCCGTAGCTTTGCTTTTGCAACATTTTTTATTATTTGTTTCCCCTTTTTGGTTTGTTGTTTTCTTTGTGGGGCACAGCCCCAGGATATTTGAGCAGGGCTCACGGAATAGGGTTAAGTTTTTGAGCCAGACGCAGATAGACAAAGTGAATGATAAAGGGGTGGCCAAAGTAGAGCAGACTTTGCCAGAGTTTGTGGCAAAAGGTGAGAGCAACACGAAAATTCGGCGGATTTGCTTTGAGGTTTACCCATAAATAAAACGTGTTGCTTAACGAAAACAGGGTGGTTAAAGCAGTGATTTTATGAATTCCCATAAAGCCTTTACAACCGATTTTTTAAAATATATAGATATTCCACTTTCCAATACATAAACGTACACTTGCCATACATACAAACATTTAATTAAAATATATTGATCCGGAAAACATTTGTTTAAATGTTCAGCTTAATTATAAATTAGTTTATCATATATCATGGATATATTAAAATACAATTTGTAATATATATACAAAATATTTTAAACATGTAGTTTACTTCACTACTTCACGCAATACCTAAATAATTTTTGATTATAAAGCAATATGGAATTTAATTTAAATAAAACGTACAGCTAAGTGAAAATTTGCTTAAATTATTATTGAATTTATTATCAATGCATAAAGCTGTGTGGATGTAATTTGCTAGAATCTAGTTCACAATTTGTGCAATTAAGTGTGCACTGCTTTTATGTGGCTTCTCCACACATAAATATATTAATGACAGTTTTTTGTTTTTGCTGCCATTTCGCCTCGGGTGCCCGTGGAGTTCATAGTTCATGGCGCTGAGGA